TGCTGAAGGCCTGAAATCAAAGAAAGTTTTGAGCAGGACACCTCCTCAGAATCCTTTCCAAATCAGCTTCTCCTACAGGTCGCTAATGAGAGCGAAGTAAACCAAGCCCCTTTTAGATTTGCATTTGGATCCATCTTTCTAGTAATCAAATGGCCCTTTTGGCTTGAAGTTGTAGCTGTCTCGTCTATATGCTTAATGCAAGGGATTATAGCCCTCTCCTTATCCCTAGACAGATTGCTTGGAAAGAGAGTAGATTCAAGATTAGTGAATTTACTGCCCACTTACCCAGAATCCCAGCTAACAAGGGTCCTCCACACCGATGGCCCACTGCAGGCTTTCTAAGAGATGGTCAACCACCTTTATGGTCAACCAGCATTCATAGTAGATGGTCTTTCAATGCCAAGTGAGCATCTTAACAAAAGATCCAGTTGGAAGCAAAATAGCATTCACAAAAGAGGATTGCCCCTGCCTTGTTCTTTCCATTTACCTGCCCTGGTCTTCCAACTGGTTGTCCTGTGCTACCCAGAGAAAAATGGCTGTCTTCTTTTCTCTGTGCCTCAGATCTGGATCTTTCATCTTCAGGCCACTTCTCAGTTGGCAATGCTCGTAGGTCTCTTAGGGCATCCCCAGTTTGAGCAACAGATGCTTCTTGGGGTTCCTCACAAGGTTCTGGTTTTATGGCAATGACTTTTAAATGATCAGACCCCAAGTCTGGAGCAATGGGCACATGTTTGATCCTAATACAAGGGACTATTTGCACAAGCAACTCCCCTGTCCCTATTGGGGTCTTGTTTGCACTTGTACCTGGGATTGCCTCTTCAGAGCACCATGATTTAGACTCTGCACTAATAGACACCTGGGAAAGAGCCTTGTCTGCAATTCTGTCTGGGTCCATCATACTTTGGCTCAGTTGGTCACTAACCACTCGTAAAACGGGATGATCAGAGAGTTCCTCAATTATTATGGTAACCACGTCTTGAGGAAAACGTGCATTGAAACCTGTTACATCATCATACAGGTCTTGCTCAGATCCAGATCTTTGTAACATATTCCTGGAAGTAGAAAGAACAACTTGATTAAGTGCTTCTTTCTGTTCTGGACGTAGCAGTGGTTCTTCCCCTGTAGCTGCCACAAAGCTGATTTGATGTTTGGACAGGCCTTGTTCCATGGCCTATTTAAGGTTCTCAGAAAGTGCGTTCACTTCGGCTCTTGATAAGCATCTCTGGTACTGTGGGCTTTTGCCATCAGTTGAAATTAAGACTTTTGACAGGAATCTACTTAATATTTCCTCCACAAATGTCACGGGTACCACGGGAATGCATGGGTTTAGAGTTGGTTTTGGAATCTCCTTTATCATGCCAAGATCGCTAGGGAGTTTGTCCACAATCTTAACACCTCCTGTTGTTGAAGATGAAGTATCCTCTGACCTGGCTTGAAACTCAGGTTTAGCAACTCCTTTTGCTATTGAAGCTGCTATCCTATGAACTAAAATATCTTTCTGATTTGTTAGGTCTCTGTCGCAGAGCACCTCGGTGCTCTGCTCCTAGAGGGGAGAAACTGCCAGGGAGAGAGACAGAGCCCTGGCAGGTCATAACGAGCCCAGCTGAGGGTTGCCAGGGTAACGAGCCCAGCTGCGGGTTGCCGGGGCAGCTAAGGGGAGCCAGCTGCCTGTAGGAGGTGGG